GGCAGTCTCGAAACCCTAATAACTTAAGACTATCCGAACACAAAACCGCTTGTAAAGGTCTGTGGATCCAAAAGTCTGAGCTCGCTGAACACATTTTGCCAATATAGGACACTCAATAGACTGGTCCAAAAGACAACATTTTGCAGGTTACGGCTATTTCACATCAAAGAGTAGGATTAGTGAGTCTGTAGAAATTAACAAAACAGCCAACGTCCTGAATAAGAGGATCGAATGTAGAAAACTGAGTAGCAAGTTTTTGTTGCTGTTGGGTGGACTTAAGGGAAGAGAGAGAGCGTGTGTGCAGGGAGAGCCAATGAGCAAGAGGAGGAGGCTGGTTTAGCTTTGTGTCTAGCTTGTGACTATCATACTACTCATGAGATGAGTAGTACACACAATAGACAATAGCACAAGCCCAAATATGATTCAGCATTAGGCGATCGTAGGCTAGCTTTTGTGTGTAATGAAACAGCTGTCACCGAACGCATTTCCGGTTCGTGAAATTATCTTCACTCATTTTTAAAGCATGTAGAGTAAAGTTGGAGCAGCCAACCAAATCAGGAGAGGCCTAATTAAGATTGCGATGTTGGGTGTATAAAAATGCGACTGGGGTTGCAGTCGAACACTTCTTCTCTTGGTTCAGTCTATTTTTGCTCTATTTTGTAAAGTTTGTAATCTTGCGATGCTGCTGTCTGTCACGGCGATACAGTAAAAAGCTTAGCACAGTTTCATCGGTGTCGCAGGACGATGAGTTGAGGACTTGTTCGCAGACTTCAACAGTCCTCTCTACGCGGCAATCCTCCTTCGGTTTCCGGTGAGACCACATCACGAATTGCTTCCAACTAACCTCCCCTTCGAAATGGAGAGTCACGCCACAAAAGTGTCTATCATCAATACCATTTATGCTGAACCATCTCAATTCGTATTTCTCAAGTCAGCTGACTCTTTGCTGAGCCAGCAAAAGATGGAGAATTTTCTCCTCCAGATCTTTGAATCTTTACTTAGGGTAGATCAGAGCAACCGAGCTTAACATTATAAACAGCTGAATTTGGAGAGAATGCACGGTGCTAAATGAGAGGTTCAACTGGTGATACATGCGAAAATGTATCTTAAAAGTGAAATGGAAAACATTTTTTCTAAGAGCACTCAATCTGTCCATCAATGTTGCCCGTCACACACAAGAGCCTCTGGGATTTCCCTGAAACTATGCGGTTTCATTCTTTGTGAGCCACAATAATTTGGCGAATTCCGAGCACACATTTGAAAGCCTTGATTTTTATCTTCCTCAAAGCCAAGTGTAGCTTATAGTTTGCTTTTGGATAAGTGCACCCATTCTTAGCAGACTCTGAGCCCTAATCTTGGTGGTGCACACACTCTAAATGCCAAATTTTTATAATTACTAGAACTTGCCATTTCCTCCTTAGTTGCCACGCGCCTAATTTAGGAAGAATTTATACAAATGGCCTCTTCGTTTCTTGCATATTTCGCCTTGCTATGGCAGGCAGTCTGTCCTTAAGGTATCTGCCCACTTGAAGCAGAATCACTCTTATGAGTCATGAATTGAATGAAAGTCCATTTAATTAATTAATTATTAAAATTGTTTTAATCCCAATCACATTGTTCTAACTGGTCATCTTATACATTTAAAAACAATAAATGGAAGGTCAACAATTTAGTATAAAACCATACCATAGATTAAAAATAGATTTTTGCTCATAAAGCTAGTTATTATTTTCCTATCACAAACAAATGCGAATTTATCCCCTTAATATTGAGGATCATAAAGCCAACAATACAGTTGAATGCCAAAATACTAGACCTCAAGTGCTAGAAAGTGCAGTTTGTAGGCAGGTTCGTATCCTTCTTTCCGTTCATCCTGACGAGCTATTTAACAAGTCAAACTGAGAAGGCCAAACTAAGCTTTACTTTGCGACCAGTTCCTGTATGAAAGTATGAATGTAAGCCTTTCAACTTGAAAATAATAAAACGAGTTAAACCTTGTATGAAAATACCGAAAAGGACAACTAAGAAGACAGTACAACAAACCTCCGGACATAAGTTATCACTGTATTGTAATTAAGCCGGCTGGCATAACACAGCCAATTATATAAGGATCAAACTTTTCTTGACACTCCGGGTTGTATATAGGATTTATTCCCTTTAAGGAAGCCAATATCTTGAGGCAGAAGAGCAAAATCGCACCCCAAGTCAACGTAATCACGATTGCTCCCATTCTGCTTCATTTTAATCAGTGAATAGCATGAGCACATGTTATATATCTGCCCCTGATCCATAATTGTGAAGATTTTGCCGATCTCAGACCTAACGGAGTAGATCCCGATCGCGTTTGGTCCTGAAGCGGCCTCCAATAAAGTTAATCGGGATTATATGACGAACTAATGATCTCAGGCAAGGCAGCTACGGGACTGTAGATTCTGACCTTGTTTCCTCCATCGCAAAACGAAGAGCATAAGTACGAGTGAGCCCAAGCATACCCACAAACCGGAATAGGGTATACTTACAATGTTATTTTTTACCCCCAATATTTAATTTAGAGTTGGAGGGAATTAAAAAATATGTTGAGATGCTTCAGCCATAATGTACAAACAATTTTACCAGTCAATGGCTTTTGTAAATTATTAATGAATCGCAGCAGACATTGCACACTAGTCCATTATTTATTACAAAATATGAGCGCATACATTTTGCCCCTAGCAATTATGTAAAGCCATAACTAAGGCATAAGAAAGGAATCATTCGGCTTCATATGGTATTCACAAGGCGCAGTACTGATAATAGCCACTTATATAATATTTTTAACAGACAAACACAAATGTATCATTTCCTTTGAAGGCTTTGCGAAAATCCCGTCCTCAGGAAATAGTCTATATTCTTCGAAATATCGAAGGTCGCATACGAATATAAACTGTGCTTTTATATTTATTATCACTAGCATCAGATCGAACCAATGTGTAACTATCAGCTTGGCCATCCTCACGTGGCAAATGGCTAATAAAAACTCGATTAAATACAACTCAGTTTCGGGGAGTAAGATGCTCACCAGATGGAAATATAAGCTTAGAAGGTAAGTGTATGTTATAAATAGTCCTAGATTTGAATATATTATACAAAGGCATAAAATGTACATTTTACGAAACTAAAATAGGAAATAATCCTATTAAAGGGTTTAGGAAGGTGTGTAGGGGATCTTAACAAAGAAAAACAGCACGATATAATTTGTTGTAATATGGCGGAGCTTGGTAAAGTGCCATATAATAGATGATTGTAAAAAGTGTGGGTGAGCATGTTAAAAAATTGAGTAAAAATTAGGCTATATTAAACTGTATTATATTGGGGCAATACAGTGAACGTGGTGTAATAAGCACCTATTTGATCATTGCTATAAATAACCTGATTTACTTATGCTTTCTAATGATATAAATATGATTGCTAGCAATTATAGTCATGGCGAATTGGCAGAAAGGCCTAAATTTGCATAGCAATTCACTCTTTAGATATAACCACTTGAGGAGCATGCTTTTCGAGTATCGCATTACTACTGAGGTTCGAACTCCACTTGGTGTTCTAGTTAACCAATAATGTGAGATGGAAATCTCAGACTACGGAGGATTTTAAAAAATGCGAAATTAGACCTTATATTTAATACATAGTGGATAGAATTGATGTAGTTGTCCCTATTTCTATTTTATTTCGGGTTAAAATTGCCTCATTGAAGGCAATGAAGTAGGGAATCCGAATAGACGAGAATGGAAACCATCTTAAAGTTACTATCTGTGTTGCACTAAAGTTTATAAAGGTTATTTGGCCCCGATATTAGTCATATAAGCTTTTTCAGACACGAAGGCTGAAGCTATCTTGCATCTACGGATGCTTAGACTGTGAGGCTTGTAATACGAAGAAGAAGAGCGATATGTGAAAAATGTTTGGCCAGCAAGCGATAAGTCGAGTAGGATGCAGCCTAGGTCTAGGAAAAATCTCTCTGTTGTCTTAGAGAGGCATAATGGGTAAATTATAATTACTGAGAGCCTCGAAAAAATTAAAAAAAGACAAAGGAGAAAAAAGTAAAGTAATATTGAAAATATAGAAAACTACTTATACAAAAAAATAATTACTAATTGCCAACTAGAATTGCCATAGATTATGCATTTCAAAATAGAATACAAGAAATGGACAGTGTGGACAACGTGAATCAGGCAAAAGAGACATAATTGTTGTGCTTACTTGAATTTCGAATGAAAGTGTTTGGT